GCCAGCCATGCTGGCTGGGGAATTCTGGGAGTTGAAGTCCACACCTCTTAAGGTTGCGAAGGTTGAGAAACACTGAGCTAGTGCAACCCCACTAGGTTGTTTGATCTCATTATTTATAAAACTGGGCATTTAAAATCGCTCTAATCTCATCCCCTGCCACTAACACAAGCAAAGTTGTGAAGCTGAAAGCTGTTTTAAAATATAACGAAAGACACACACACCCCCCATTATTTGTAAAAAGGCAAACTATGATGAACCTGAAAGGAGAGGATGAATGCTGCAGAACAAATACAGAAAACTTAAAACTATCTGACAGACCCAAAGACACTCAGTTTATTTATCCAATCTTGCATTCATCCCATATTTACACGTTTGTAATTTTAAAAAAATGTCTCCTTGAAAATTCTTAGAATTTCCATGTCTTTGTCCCTCTGCGTATACGTGTGTGCCTTTTCCCCATTTTTTTCTGTGTGCCTTTCCTCTAGCGCATTTTGTGTACTCTTTTCCTTACCTTACACATCTAATGAAGGTTTTTTTGTTCCCTTTCCATATGTGCATCATGGCTTGCCTTTTTAAAATTGAAAACTGCAATGCAAAATCTGGAGTGATCTGGATTTCAGCGTGGAACCCTATTCCAGCTTGTGTATTGGTTTCAGAAGTATAAACTAGAGAAGTTGGTATAAAGCTGTGAACTGGTGAGCCAGGAACCAGCAGTTCTCAGGCTGGATAGCATCATTATGCCAACTGTGAACTGGATGACTTTCTCCATTCTGTCAGGGTGGGCACATTCCCACTTTGCAGATGTCAATGGTCTTGCAGGCACTTCCCAAGGGGGTGTTTCAAGGCAGGCCCTCACTTCTTGTTGCCTTCCTTTACCAGTAGGAGTGTTTCTTCATGTTTTGGGCTACCTGTTTCATATCCACCCAAATGCTGCATGTTTTACATCCTTGCCTTGACGCCCAGGGAGATGGTGATAATCTAATTCACCACCACCACCACCACCTGCTTCCTTTTTTGATTGCATTCTTTCCTGATTTTGAGTCTGAGACCAACCAGCACTCACTCTGCCTTTGTCTGTCTTCTTGTTGCAGGGAGACAGTGGTGGCCCCCTCATGTGCCAGGAAGATGGCTCTCAACTGTTTTGGATCATTGGAGTCACAAGCTGGGGGCAGGGCTGTGGGAAAGCACACAAGCCAGGCGTCTATACTGCCACCCAGCACTTCTATTCGTGGATAAAGCAGTTAGCAGGCCCAATGCCTCAGCCCCCACCCACGCCCATGCCCATCCCCACAATCAAGATTGTTCTCCAGAGTGAATCAGCTTCTCACCCAACCTCTTCCCCTGCAAGTTCCCCTTCAACTTCCGTAGTCACCAAAGCTCCAGCTCATCTCCCAACTGTATTACAAACTAAACGGCAAATAAAGCCTTTAGTCTTTTTTTGGCCTCCAACCACAGCACAAGCTCCATTTCAGCCCAAAACTCAACCTATATCCCAATCCACATCTGAAGTCCCACCTAAGCCCACATCCCAACTTCATGCCAAATCTCCAAATCCATTCAAAGTTGAACTCCTACTTCAGCCCACAACCGAAGCCCCATCTTCACCTCATGCCAAACCTTTACCTTCTTCTCCAACTCCACATTCACTGAAGGCTGAAGTCCCATTTCAGACCATATCCCAAGTTCCACCTCAATCTCAGGCCAAACCTTCTTCAATTCCACATTCACTGAAGACTGAAGTCCCATCTCAGACCATATCCCAAGCTCCACCTCAATCTCAGGCCAAACCTTCTTCAACTACATATTCATTGAAGACTGAAGTCCCATCTCAGACCATATCCCAAGTTCCACCTCAATCTCAGGCCAAACCTTCTTCTCCATCTCCACCTGAGGCTGAAGTCCTACCTGAACCTCAGGCCACTCCTCTACTTGAAATTGAAATCCTATCTCAGCCGATATCCCAAGCTCCATCTCAGCCTCCGTCTCCATCAAAGACTGAAGTCACATCTCAGCTTGCATCTATAATTCAAGCCACACTCCAAACCCCATCTCAACCTAAAACCAAACCTCTTCTTGAGCCTGAAATTCCAACAAAGATTGGATCCACATCTCAAACTCAACCCCAAGCTTCTCCTGAAACAGAATCTGAACCAGAACCTTCATATCAGTCTATAACCACACCTCAACCTACATCCAAAGCCCCACCTCAATCTGAGCCCCAACCTTCCCCTCAAACACATTCTAAACCAGAACCTGAAGCTCCAACTCAGCCTATGACTACATTTCAATCTACATCTGAAGCCTCACCTCAGTCTGAACCCCAACCTTCTCCTCAGACCAAGTCTGAACCAGAATCTGGAACTTCATCTCAGCTTGTGATCATACTTCAAACATCTGAAGCCCCAACACAGTCTGAGCCCCAAGTTTCCCTTCAAACAGAATCTAAACAAGAGCCTGAAACTCCACTTCCATCTACAACACTCCAACTTACGCTTGAAACTTTGCCATCCACTTCTCAACCCACACCTGAAACTGTGTCTCAACCTGAAACTTCAACACAACCTAAACTCACATCAGTTTCTCATCTGGAGACCCAAAGCCCCAAAGCTGAAACCCCATCCCAAAAGCTACCTGAAGCTGAGCTTGAAGTCCCACCCATAATTGAAACCTCACGGATTGACAGCACAGTGGCTAAATTCTTCCGAATGATTCAGGAGTTCTTGCACATCGTAAAGAAGGAGAAAGATGCCGTGTGGGTGTGGCCCAAACTGTCGGAGTTGAAGCTCATCAAGGACACAGGTGTGGCTTCTCTGAAGGAGTCAGAGAGCCCACCAGCTACAGATTTGCCTGCTGAGCCTGGGGGTCCTTGCCAACTGAAGGGAAACCCCAGCATGCTTTTGGCACGCGGGTGCCCCACCCGAGTTGAAAAGTCTTAGCAAGGCCATCAAGCATCCTTCAGGGAGCTCTGGCAGCATACTTATTGAAACTGGAAAGAAATAAAAAGTTTTGTTAGAGTTCTGCTAATCTCACCCATGCTACTTCTCTGGGGCAATTTTACACAGCTCCATGGTTATAGCCCAGGGTGGTTAGCTGAGCTCCATCCATGCCTCATGCTTCTGAAGCATGAGTCCTAAGAGTGTGGTGACCCCAGACAGCGTAAGATCTGACTGTTGCATGAAAATGCATTTAATCTTTCTCTGGGACTTCAGCACTCTCTGGGGAAGGCAAGGTATTGGGTTGCACCAATATTTTGTTGTGGATACAAGCAACCCCTAATACGAAGATCAGCTTCTACAAAGGCTAAGAATCAGGTTCTATATGCATGTAGGTTTAAATCCTGTTTTTCCCCATCTTTTCTTTGTAACAGACTTCTTGCAATGTTTCTCATTTCTCATGTGTTTACAAAATGTACCTGTTCTGGTCTCAGACTCATTTTCCACCTTGTCTGCTTCAGCCCCCACACCTCCTCTATTTTATGTCTCTAAACCCATTTTTCTTAATTGGAGAATATGTTTGCCAAGTGGGCTGTAAGCATGATCCGGTTTTGCATGCTTGATCGCTCAGCTGTTGAGTCGCTGTCGCGTATGTAAAGCTATGCAGAAGTTCAGGCCATCCGACAGCACCACAGCATCACGAAGGTGTCCTCACCTCAATTGTGTGCGGAGTCCGGGGACTTAAAAGTAACGTGTCTGATGGCTTTGCTGTGATGGGAGCTCCCCCACATCTTGTACAATTCCCAGCTCAGTGCTCTGAAGCTTGGAATGACCGGTCAAGGGGACGCCGTTGAGTTGCTTTGGCAGACCGGCCCAATTTGCTGCTGTCACCCCATCTGGTCATGTAACAGCCCAGCCAGCTAAAGGCCACTGCAGAGTGTTAAGAGTTGGCACGATGCATATGCACAGCATCCATAGCCAACCCCTGGTGGGCAGTGCAATCAACTCCATGGCCAAGCCCACAGATGGCACCTTCCCTTGCAGCACTATGCCTACCAGCATGCCATTCATCAGCAGGTGTGCCATCTTCAGAGCCAGCATGTTTTGCCCTTGCCCAGCCTCCATTCCCTTACTTTGGTCAAGCTGACCAAGCCCCCCTTTGGGTGGAGTCCTGGCTTCTCCACCTCTGAGGCCCGGCTGCTGCTTGGGGTGAGGGGGGAAGGCTCACCTCGGCTGCCTTTTCAGGGAAGACCGCCTGCCCCTTCAGCCGCTCGCCCCCCTCCCCCTGCCAGCTGCTGCTGGGCATCCTTTACGGCCACACGTTCCACGTTCCTGAAAAGGCGAAGCAACTTTTGCTCAGGAGAGTCCACCCTCCCTTGCTGTTCCCTGCTAGGATCAGCTGAATTTCCTAATTATCAGTTATCACAGATTCAAAACTCTGAAACAGCGGCCATTGGAGCACAACACGGCTGAACAAGAAAAGTCCTTCTCCAGCTAATGCTCTCGGGAAACCCAGGGAACTGGGGTCCATTTGGGGAAAAGGAGATTAGTGACAGAATTTCTAGAGAAGGCTTCCTTTTACAGCAAGGTTCCTCAACCTTGGCAACTTTAAGACGGGAGGACTTCAACTCCCAGAATTCCCCAGCCAGACTGCTGGCTGTGGAATTCTGGGAG